GGTCGTTCCAGGAAACAGCACCAGCGTATAGACCGTACCCCAAACCGACACAGGTGGACTGGTAGAGCATACCTAGGCGCTTGAGAGAACGGTGTTGAAGGAACTCGGCAAAATTGCCCCCGTAACTTCGGGAGAAGGGGGCCCTGCGTTCGGGCAACCGGGCGTGGGGGGCACAGAGCAGGGGGTGGCGACTGTTTACTAAAAACACAGGACTCTGCGAAGCGGCAACGCGACGTATAGGGTCTGACGCCTGCCCGGTGCCGGAAGGTTAAGGGGCGAGGTGAGAGCCTCAAACCGAAGCCCCGGTAAACGGCGGCCGTAACTATAACGGTCCTAAGGTAGCGAAATTCCTTGTCGGGTAAGTTCCGACCTGCACGAATGGCGCAACGACTTCCCCGCTGTCTCCAACACCGACTCAGCGAAATTGAACTCTCCGTGAAGATGCGGAGTACCTGCGGTCAGACGGAAAGACCCCGTGCACCTTTACTACAGCTTTGCAGTGGTATTAGGGGTTCGATGTGTAGGATAGGTGGGAGGCTGTGAAGCATAGGCACAAGCCTGTGTGGAGCCATCCTTGAAATACCACCCTTTGAATTTTTGATATCTAACCGAGGCCCTTCAATCAGGGTCCGGGACCCTGCATGGCGGGTAGTTTGGCTGGGGCGGTCGCCTCCCAAAGAGTAACGGAGGCGCGCGATGGTGGGCTCAAGCTGGTCGGAAATCAGCTGAGGAGTGCAATGGCATAAGCCCGCCTGACTGTGAGGCCGACGGGCCGAGCAGAGACGAAAGTCGGCCATAGTGATCCGGTGGTCCCGTGTGGAAGGGCCATCGCTCAACGGATAAAAGGTACGCCGGGGATAACAGGCTGATGATGCCCAAGAGTCCATATCGACGGCATCGTTTGGCACCTCGATGTCGGCTCATCACATCCTGGGGCTGGAGCAGGTCCCAAGGGTTCGGCTGTTCGCCGATTAAAGTGGTACGTGAGCTGGGTTTAGAACGTCGTGAGACAGTTCGGTCCCTATCTGCCGTGGGCGTTGGAGAATTGAGAGGATCTGCCCCTAGTACGAGAGGACCGGGGTGGACGGACCTCTGGTGGACCGGTTGTGGCGCCAGCCGCACCGCCGGGTAGCTAAGTCCGGACGGGATAACCGCTGAAAGCATCTAAGCGGGAAGCCCCCCTCGAGACGGGTTCTCCCTGAAGAGCCGTGGAAGACCACCACGTTGATAGGCCGGGTGTGGAAGCGTGGTAACACGTGAAGCTAACCGGTCCTAATCGCTCGATCGGCTTGATTCTTTGTGCGCGGCGTCAAGTGCGCCAGACGCTGAACATGGCCAGCAACAATTCCCGCGAGCCGGACGGGCGAACAAGCCCGCAATACGTCCTTGCTCCAGCGTCCGGCATGCCGCGCCGCGCGGCTGAGTTCAGTGTCGCACGTCCACTGTCGCGAATTGGCCGCTGCGCGTCTGGCTTCGAAGGCACGGCGTTGCGCGTCCGGCGATGTTCTTCGATGACCTGGTGGTTATGGCGAGGGGCGAAACACCCGATCCCATCCCGAACTCGGCCGTGAAAACCCTCAGCGCCGATGGTACTGCGTCTTAAGGCGTGGGAGAGTAGGTCGCCGCCAGGTCATCGAAGGGCACCGCCGCCCGACTAGCGCTCGTGACAGGCGGCGCAGCGCGCCAGCAGAGCCTCTATAGCGATTTCAAAGCCAAGCCATGGCGCGGGGTGGAGCAGTCCGGTAGCTCGTCAGGCTCATAACCTGAAGGTCGCAGGTTCAAATCCTGCCCCCGCAACCAAGATCACGCCGCTAGACAAATCTTAGCGGCGTTTTCATGTCCGTCTCTCTGTCCGATCTGTGTGTCGTTTGTCAGCTCGTCAAACGATTGGCAACAAACTGCATGTCAATCGTACGCCAGTCCGGTACGTCGTCCGCCTGCCCGTGATACGTACGCATCGCGAACGTAAGTGTCGGCACGCCGTGAATCGGCGACATCGGAATCATCATCCCCATCGAATCGAGGTCCCGCAAGGGGGCTGGTAACGCGTTTTGCCATGCGCTATCGTCGAGCGCATGGCGGTTCTCGACGAAGATTACGGCACCGACCTGACGCTGGCCGAGGGCGGCGGCGGGACTTGGACGGTCCCCACGGCCCCGCCTCCGCGACAGCCGCGCGAGTGGCGGTCGCGATATGAGCAGGAGCACGCCCGCGCGGAACGTGAACGGGCGCGGGCGGATGCAGCGCAAGCGCGTTGTGAAGAGCTGCGCTGGGCGGAAGTAGCCTCGCGCACTGATGCCGGTTCGTGGAAGTCGCGGTTCAAAGCCTGCCGGCGCAAGCTGAGCGAGGCCGTCGAGGAGACGAAGGAAGCTCGCCGCGCAGCAAGGGACGTGCCTTCCTTGCAGGCGGAAGTGGCACGCCTGGAGACGCTCCTCTGCGAAGCCGGCATCGAGTCGAGCGAGAGCAGCAGGGTCCAGACGCTGCGCAAGGAAGTCGCCCGGCTGCGCATGGCCCTGGCGACGCCGGAGACCCGAGAGGGCGGTCTCGGCCCGCGGCCTGCGCAGACCCGTCGGCGGCGCACCACCTCCGTGGAGCGATCCCCGAGCCAGAAGGACACCATCAGGTCGCTGCGCACGGAACTCGGCGAGCTACGCAAGGAGGTAGTCCGGCGGGGCAAGCAGATCGTCGGGCTGAACAAGCGCCTGGACCAGGAGAAGGAGAGGTCGGAGAGCCTCAGGGAGACCGCCAGGAAGCTGTCCCACGAGTCCCTTCGACTCCATAGGGAGGTGAGGATACTGCGCGACTGCGAGGGCCCGGGGCCCGGTCGCTGTCCGACGAGGTCTACCGGCTGCGCCTTGCCCTGGAGGTGTCCAACGCCGGGAATGACAAGTTGAAGGCCCGGCTTGTGAAGCTTCGGGCGCTCGGAGCGACGCTGTCGAAGTTGCCGTGCGACGAGGCCGCTCAACTGCGTGCGGCGTTGAGGACGTCGCGGCGCCAGAAGACGACGATCAACGTGCTGCGCAGGGACAACGCCCGGCTGCGCAGCCGTGCGGCGTCGAGACCCGCAGCGGGCAGCGCGCTTCGCGACAAGCACCAGACTTGCCGGGCTTCGAGCGTCAGGAAGTCGCTGTCGAAGTCGTTGTCCGGCACCGACGCCGAACTGCGCGAGGCCCTGCGGAGATCGCGACGCCAGAAGGCCACGATCAAGTCCCTTTCCCAGGAGAACGCCCGGCTGCGCAAGGGCGCGAAGACGTCGCGGAACCGGATCGAGACGCTGGAAGCCCAGCTTGCGAGGCTTCGCGCGACCGGGGCGGTGCTGTCGAAGGCGCTCTACGGGCCGCAAGAGCGAGCAGCAGGACGAAGCCGCGCTCGGGCGCAAGCGCGGCCAGCAGCGCGGCGCGCCCGGCCACGGCCGCACCCAGCGGCCCCGGGCTCGAGGAGCGCACCGAAGAGCACAACCCGCCGCCGGATGCGTGCGTCTGCGGACGGTGCGGGCAGCCCTATGCGCCGAACGGCGCCGAGGAATCCACCCTCGTCGAGATCGAGGTCAAGGCCCACAAGCGCGTGATCCGCCGTCCGCGCTGGCGCCGGACCTGCGACTGCGCGTCGTCGCCCATGGAAGTGTCGGCGCCGCCGGTGCCGCGCCTGTTCCGCAGAACGCCTTACGGGACCAGCTTCTGGGCGCGCTTCCTGTTCGAGCACTGTGCCTGCTTGCGCCCCGTGCACCGCGTTGCCGCGTGGATGTCCGGCCAGGGGCTGGCGGTCTCGCCGGGGACGCTGGCCAATAGCCTGAAGCGCTTCGTGCCGCTGTTCGAGCCGGTGGCCGAGGCGATCCTCGCGCACCAGAGCAAGGCGGCGCTGCGCCATGCCGATGAGACCAGCTGGCGCGTCCAGGAGCTACGCGGGGAAGACCGGTCGAGCCGGGCCTGGCTGTGGACCTCGGTCAGCAGCGACGCGGTCTGCTTCCATATCGACCCCTCACGCAGCGCCGAGGCGGCGCACAAGCTGTTCGCCGAGGCCCTCCCTACACGGTCATCGTCTGCGACCGCTACAGCGCCTACAAGAGGCTGGCGCGTCTTCTCGGGGGGCTGGTGATCCTTGCGTTCTGTTGGTCCCACGTGCGCCGGGATTTTATCGAGTGCGCGGCCGGCCAGGTGGAACTGACGCAATGGTGCCAGGGATGGATCGAGCGGATCGCGTCGCTCTACCGCCTGAACGAGGCGCGGCTGGAGCATTACGACCCCGGGGTCCAGCGCCAGACGCCGGCGTTCGACGCGGCGCAGGGCGCACTGGAGGAGGCGCTCGACGGCCTGTTCGCGCAGGCCGCGCGGGAACTCGCCGGCCTGCCGGACGAGGCGCGCGAGGGCAAGGCACTGCGCTCGCTGTTGAACCACCGCGAGGGGCTGAGCGTCTTCGTCGACCGGCCCCAGGTCCCGATGGACAATAATCTCGCCGAGAGATTTTTAAGAGGTCCGGCAATAGGACGACGGCTGTCGTTCGGCTCCGACAGCGAGACCGGCGCCAGGTTCACGGCGATCATGTACTCGGTGGTGGGCACGCTCTCGATGAACGGCATCGACGTCCTGCGCTGGCTGGAAGCGTGGCTCGAAGCCTGCGCGAAGAATGGCCGCAAGCCGCCGCACGACCTGTCGCCCTGGCTGCCATGGTCGATGAGCGAGGACCGCAAGCGCGACTTCATGACGCCGGGATGACCGGCCGGATCGAGTGCCGCTATTACGGGCCGCGACTTCACCGCCGAAGAGATGGCGCTGCTGCGCGCGCTGATCGCTGCCGATCCGCAGCCGACCCGCGCCGCCTTGTCGAGAGAGTTCTGCCGGCGCATCGGCTGGTTCAAGCCCGACGGCGGGCTCAAGGACATGATGGCCCAGGGTCACCATGCTGGCCATGCACCGCGACGGTGTGATCGCCCTGCCGCCGCCCAAGGGGACGGCAGGGCCGGCCCAGGCCGATCGTCTTCGGACCGGACACCGAGCCGCCGCTGTTCCCGGCCCCGACAACCCTCGACGAGGTCCGTCCGCTCGACCTGCGCACCGTCGTGCGCGGCACCCGGGAGGGCAAGCTCTGGAACGAGTTCGTCGCCCGCTACCACTATCTCGGATACAAGACCCTGGTCGGCGCCCAGATGCGCTACGCCGTCCACGACCGCAACGGCTGGCCCGTCGCCATGCTCGGCTTCAGCACCGCCGCGTGGAAGCTCGCCCCGCGCGACAACTTCATCGGGTGGACGCCGCAGCTGCGCGAGAAGAACCTCCCCCTGGTGGTCGACAACCCGAGGTTCCTGATCCTGCCCTGGATCGAAATCCCCAACCTCGGCTCGCACATCCTCGCCATCGTCCGCCGCCGCCTGCCCCGAGGACTGGGCCGAGCGCTACAACACCACCCCCGTGCTGATCGAGACCTTCGTCGAGACTCCGCGCTACACCGGCGCCGTGTA